AGGACTGGAATGACTGAAGTACAAATAATATTCATACAATAGCAAAAGAACTACTAATTACAAGACATCAAATGCAGACGTATCAAATGATCAAACTACAAAGTGCAATACTGCCGTCATATTTCTCCTTTGGTAATCAGAGAGGTGAGACGCTAAAATTTTATGAAGAATGCTGACATGCCCTGTTCGACACTGAAAGCACAACATCAACTTTTGCAAGTGCTTACTTTTTGAGTAAAAATACCGCAAATTTCAGAGTGCGGAAACGTGCGGTCACTCCGACAACGTTGGCGTTGCACTACTGATTTAAAATCTAACATACGTGTTTACAGTTCTTTTCCATCAGTTTCAAAATGCAAGCGTAGTTCAGGAAAGAAAATTAGCGAAATTACATCGCCATGTTGCCTTTGCTACTGAAACAGAAAAAACGATTTTTCTCTATCACTATAACCACAGTTGCAGCTGTATAAGTAATAAAGCTTGGGAAACCGTACTGATGTGGCTGCATATAACAGCTAGATAGTACATACTACTGGATAATTCGAAATTTTGAAAAGGATTTTGCAAATACATTATGCTTTTTTGCTACCTTTACAGACGCACAGATTTTTGACCTTTTAAAAAGAAAAAAAAACCAGAATTAGTTGCTGTCACCTCGCACAGCCGAGCAAAAATCCATAATCTTCTTTTCATCAGGCTAAGAAAAGTGCATTCGGCTTACAGTGCTGGGCAGTTACGTAACTAAGGTTCTCCTTATCAGGCGAAAATTTGCTCCCACTGTGACCTGATAAACGCATCAAAAATATTTTTAATCGCTTCTTTCCTAAATCTGCTCACTTTAATTTCTCTCATCCCCCCTCCCCTCCATAGTTTAGTAAAAACAATCGCCTATCAGTGTACCAGTGCACTGGTTGATTTTTACATGTTTGCGTTAAGCTGCCCGGTGACCGGCTGTGAATGCCACAGTGCTTATAGGTCTGCGTTATGACTACATAGCGGTTTTATTGACTTCCTAGTATGGGCTTTTCAGGTGAAAATTCTTGTGATTTAAAACCTGAATCATTCATCCCAATAGAATTTTACTTTTGGGGAGCCGTCCTCCCTTCCCTTATACAGATCGGAGAACTGCTCTAGACTAGAACTTGCATCTGAAAAAGCGCCGCATAATAGCCTAAGAATGAAATTTTATAGCTCAAAATTCATTGGTTCCGTTTCTTCTATTCTGTTTTTTTATATTTTGAAAAATTTGTTTCCAGACCCTTGTACTTTTCAATGCCCACTGCTGCCGCTTACGCTCACTGCGGTCGTTCATCTTAAAATTATTACATTTAAAACTTGTAGTGCGATTCAAAAGATTTTTAGGTGCTGAATGTGGTTCTTTCCATTTCTTTTGCTTTGCTCAGGACAAGCGGCTCTTCAAAATAATCCAGACTGTGAAGTGAAATCGGCCTGGCAGGATTCGAATGGGAAAAAGAATTACGTTTGCTTTTGTTTTGTTTAAAGAAAATAGTTTAATTTAAACGCAGGTTGGAACGCAACAGGCTTGCCGGTGCGATCATGCGTTTTTGTACTAAATTCGCAGGTCACTCACAGCAGGAATGAACCCTGCGCTATAGCCTAACACTTGAGCTCATGTTGGCCGCGCTATGATCTCCTTCGGCATGCAGGAGCAAGGGCGTCGGTTGAGATAAGGATGTTTGCATCATAGGGTCTCATGGACCTTTATGTACATAATTACCAATTTTTATGCATTTTTGCCTATAAACAGATTGCAACCCAGGCTGGAACGTACCGGCCGGGCCCATGCAAACATATGTTTTTGCACAGGGTTCGAAGTACTCAGGTCATTAACGGCATGAATAGCTGCTGCTTTACACTTACCTTTTGTAGTCATTAGCATAAATGACCATAAATTTTGCAAAGTAAATAAACAATTTTCATTTAACATTCGTCCTTTAAAAGTAACCTAGTGGTTCAGTTAGAAATTTTTCCGCCAAGTCTTTTAAGTGCCAATACGTAAGAACCACGCATACCTCAAGGCTAAATTTGAAACGCTTAAATTGTACTTAGACAGGGAACAATTCCCCAAAATTTCGGCCTACCAGCTCTTCTGGTTTCCGAATTAGCAATTTTCCTGCAGAAATTTTCATACCCCTTGCGTGAGCGCTACGCATATCTAGGGGATGAACTTGA